GAAAGGCAGGAGAGAGAGTGAGTAGGGGGAGGAAGGGTACTTCCTGGGGAACAAACAGCGGAAAGGGGGAAGACACATATGTATTTAGAAAAGAGAGATTCAGGAAAGTTTACTTTCTAATAAAATGAAATAATATTGAAAAAATATGAATGTTTCTGTTTCTGGACCAACCTGTACTGTACTGACCCAAGGGAGAAAGCAAGCAGAACCCTGCTGCTAAGTTTTTGAGTGCCTTCTGTGTGCCAGCTACTGGGAACACAGAGGTGGAAAAGTCTTGCCCTCAAGGAGAATATGAGAAGGCAAACATGGAAACATACCAAGTTAAACTTTCTCTTTAGGTATGTGAGCGAATTCCAACCATAAGCACCCAGCTCAAAATCCTGTCCACGGTGAAGGCCACCATGCTGGGCCGAACCAACATCAGCGATGAGGAGTCTGAGCAGGTACGTATCTGCTGATGTTGGTTTCTTGCTAGCAGCTTCTATGCCGTTTTGCAGCAGTGCAAAGCTTTGGAGAAATTTTACCTCTGATTCGAGTATTCAGGATGTGGGATGGATGCTTAGACTCTCTAGGAGGGGGGAGAGTCTGTGTTGGAGACATGCATCAGAAATTTGGAACTCGCAGCTGGGTGTGGTGGTACGTGCCTATAGTCCCAGCTATTTGGGAGGCTGAGGTGGAAGGATCACTTGAGCGCAGGAGTACGAGACCAACCTGGACAACACAGCGAGACCCCCATCTCAAAAGAAAAAAAAAGAGCCCGGGCACTGTGGCTCATGCCTGTAGTTCTAGCACTTGGGGAGGCTGAGGTGGGATGATTGCTTGAGCCAGGAGTTTTGAGAACAGCCTGGGCAACATAGTGAGACTTTGTATAAAAAATACAAAAAAACTAGCTGGGTGTGGTGTGTGTGAGTAGTCTCAGCTCCATGGGAGGGTGAGGTAGGAGGATTGTTTGAGTGTAGGAGTACAAGACCAGCCTGGGTAACGCAGTGAGACCTCTATCTCAAACCACCTCCCCAAAACAAAACAAAACAAAACAAAAACAGCCAGGCACTGTGGTTTATACCTGTAATCCTAGCACTTTGGGAGGCCTAGTTAGGATTGCTTGAGCCCAGGAGTCTGAAATGCCTGAGCAATAGTGAGACCTCATCTCAATAAAAAAAAAATAAATTAGCTGAGTCCATGTGTAGTCTCAGCTACTTGGAACGCTGAAGTGGGAGGATTGCTTGAGCCTAGGAAATGAGGCTGCAGTGAGCTGTGATCATGCCACTGCACTCTAGCCTGGGTGAGAGTGAGACTCTGACTCAAAAAAAAGGAAGTTTGGAATTGAAAGTAAAGCTCTTGTATACCTTTCTCATTTTACAGATGGGAAATTGAGGTGTAGGGAGGTTAAATGTCTGGAGTAACCCTTAGGATCAGTGGCAGTTAGGACTCTACTCAGTTCTTTCCCCCAGAATAAGTTTGGCTTTCTTGAAGCTTCCAGTGCCCATTCACCCCATTTTTTTGTCTGGAGAGAATGTCTGCTTTCCAGCTAAGTGATTAGTGTCTCAGGAAGGATAAAACAGTACAGGATTTTCAGGGGCATGGGTTAGGCCTATGCTGAGACTGAAATAACAGCTCTAAGGAGGTGCTTCTCTTGTATTCTCTTTGGGATTCTCTGACAGAGATAGACTAAGGATAGTGAAAAGGCTTTCTTAAGCCGTGCTTCTTGCCTGTACTGTGGCAGTTACTTCTTGGAGTCTGTCCTTCTTCCCTCCCTCGTGGAATTGTGGCCCAGGTCTTTCAGAAAACTCATCTGAGTACTGCTTCCTCTCCTTATTTCCCTTCAGGTAGGTACTGCTCTGAGCCATAGTCCCACTTTCTTCTTTTTCTTTTTTTGAGTTGAAGTCTCACTCCGTCACCCAGGTTGTAGTGCAGTGGCACACTCACAGCTACCCCAGCGTTGACCTGCTGGGCTCCAGTGATCCTTCTGCCTCGGGTGTCCAAGTAGCCATAATTACAGGCATGTGCTACCATGCCTGGCGAATTATGGCTTTATTGTAGAGACAGGTTTTGCCAGGTTGCTTGGGCTGGTCTTGAACCCATGGGCTCAGGCAATCCACTCGTCTTGGCCTCCCAAAGTGCTGGGATTACAGGCTGAGCCACCCAGCCCAGCCCTGCTTTCTTTTTATGGTAGGCAGCATATCTTTTGTTGGGCTTATCATACATAGGGTATGCATGAAGTACCATAGTAGGTGTTAAGGGAGTTAAAAAAAAAATTAAGAGACACAATCTCTACTCTTGTGGAACTCACACATAGTTTGGCAGAACAACTGTTTCTGATCTCTAGGTGGGGAGACAGAGGCTGGGGCACTTTAGAGGAAATGAGGATACCACTCTTCTTGGTACCATTATTGTTGCTTCCACTACCATATTCTAATCCCCAAACTCTCACCCTAACTTTCTTTTCTCCTAAACAATGGGGAAGTGTATTTTCAAACCTAACTTCCATACTAGTCTATGCAGGGTTTGGGTATTAGGCTGTTTCCCTGTCATGGGATCTCTTCTGCCCAAAGAAAAGAAAGGTGAAAAAAAATGGGGAAGGAAGAATAAGACTCAGAGATTCAGGCCTAATCATATGATTAATCAGTTAACCAGCAAAATATTCCGTTAAAAAATGGTAGAGACTGTCAGTGTGGTAGAATGAAAAAAACAACACGGGATTATGTCTCAGATATCTTGAGTCCTCATTCTGACTATATTATGTGAGTCTGGTTGCCAAACCTCTGAAGCTTTCTGGGCCTTGGGTCCCTTTGCTGACCAAGTAAAAAGATCAGGAATTCTATCTCTCAGAGCCTGTGAACCTTCTGAAATTGTGTGCATAAATCTTATGCACGTGAGCATTTTTCTGGGGAAGCTTTCAGTCTTCATATCAGGATCTATGACTCAAAAATAGTTAAGAATTTCTTAGCTAATGCTAAGTTCCCTGACTTTTTATGGTAGAATGTGATCTCAGTCCTATAAGTTTGTGTGTATGGAAGATTAACTTGTTTAGATTTTCATGGATTTATATGGTGGTTGGTTGCTTGGTTGGCTTGTTTATTTGGTTATTTAAAAATTCATTAGTTAGTATTTATAAAATATCTCTTCTGGGCCAGGCACCATCCTAGACACCGGGGTACAACAGTGAACAAAACTGATAAACATCTCTACTCTGTGGAGCTTGTTTTAGTGTGGAAACAGATAAAACAAAAAACCCCAAACAACTTAGGTAAAATATATAGCATATCAGTTAGTGATGATAGGTTCAATGGGGAAAAATGAAGAAAGAATTAGTAGGTGAGGAATGCTGGGAGTTAGAGAGGTAGCGTGTGATTTAAAATAATGTGAGCAGGGAAGGCCTCACCAAGGTGACAATTGAGCAAAGATCTAAAGGGAGGTGAGGGGGAAGCCATGGGATACTTGAGGAAAGAACATTTCTAGTTAGATGTAAAGCAAGAGTCCTGAGGGAGGAGCATGTTTGAAGACCTAGAAAGAGCACATGCTATAGACCATCTGAAGGCACAGTATACAATCATTTGGCCCAGTTCTGGGTTCTTTTTGGCGATTCGGCTAAACCACCAGTGATGTGATCAAGTATGAGGGATGCCAGATACCAGTGGGGTTAACTGCAGTCCAGTCTTGGCTTAAACCTGTTTTGGAGGCAGGGCTGCATAAGGGACTTCGAGTAATGTAGAGTACCTCTTTCCTTGCAGGCCACAGAGATGCTGGTTCATAATGCCCAGAACCTCATGCAGTCTGTGAAGGAGACTGTGCGAGAAGCAGAAGCCGCTTCAATCAAAATCCGAACAGATGCTGGATTTACACTGCGCTGGGTTAGAAAGACTCCCTGGTACCAGTAGGAACCTAGTTGGACCTGGTTGGCACAGCGACTCCTCCTAAACAGAAGGAAAATGATCCAAGTCCCCAGGAGCCACCCAGAGTTGCTGGGGGTTGAAAGCCACATCCTGGCCTGACACATCAGAAAGGAAGGGAGCCCTCTTCACATTAGAAACATTTATACTCTTTTTTTCATGGACACTTTGAAATATGTCTCCGTATAAAGCCTGTATTCTCAAACACAGTTATACTTGTGCACATTGTATTCCAATAGGCAGACTGGGCTTCTAGCCCATGGACTTCACATAAGCTCAGAATCCAAGAGTGAACACTAGCCAGACACCCTGCTCTGCCCTTGTTCCCAAGGGAATATTTCCCTGTCTCCCTTTCCCTGGCCCCCATTCATCCTTCCTTTCTCCCAGGACCCAGGCATATCAGTTAAGAAGGAAATCACTGTGCCTCCAAAAATTGTTTTGTGTTTTCCATGTTGCTGCCGAGCCTGCCTGCCTTTTCTGGGTTGTGCTACCTGGGTCCTTTTCAGAAGTGGGCTTCACTGCTGCAGGGAAAGGTGGCCTCTGGGGAGCCCCAGCATATGGGGTCTGGATGCATTTCCTGCCCTTCTCCTATTTAGTCCTAGTTTCCCACAGTATATAGTTCACTGTCAGGAGGATATAACAGAATCACATGATTCTGTATTTACCATGCCCCTGAGCAATGTCTGTGCTAGGGAAACTTCCTGTCCCGTACTCTGTCTTGGCCCGCCAAGGTAGCCATCCCACAAACACACTGTGTCCTGGTGCTCTCTGCCATTGGGGGAGCAGAGTAGCCAGGGTGTAGCCCTGCCCATTTTCTCAGCAGGGCCACTCCTAGGCACTCTGTGCTTTGTCACTGCCTGCAGACTGTGCTGAGGCCTTACCATTCATTCTTAGCTCTTAATTGTTCATTCTGAGCTGAAATGCTGCATTTAATTTTTAACCAAATCATGTTTCCTGTTCCTGGTTTTTGTAGTCCTTTCCCACACCCTAAAGAAGATTTTAAAGATATGTGTTTGTTCATCTGTAATTTTGAGATTCTTTTTATCCTTTGGAAACTCAGCCCTAAGAATTACGGCTTGCCCCTCAAGAGTGTTTAATGGAAAAGCAATCCTGTCTGAAGGACACCTCCTGCCTAAGGGAGAGTAGTATCTGCAGACTAGAATTCTGGTGCTGCTGGGGATGAATCAATGGGAAACACTCTTCTGTAATTTCTACCTCTCTTCAGTCAATTACAACCAAGCCCTTTGCATCCTTTCCCAAATACAATTGCTCAAAAGAGTAATGGGTATAATATTTAATTATAGCCATAGTAAGTTTCCTATTAGGTAAATTGAGAGGACAGTTTTTCCTTTTTTGCACTATATCACTGCTAAGTATTCCCCAGCACATGTAACCACATTTCTTCCCAAAGCCAGAACCAGATGAGTAAAGGAGTAATAAGAACCCTTACCTGAATGTCCTTCCTTCCCATGCCCAATGTGTGTTAGAACCCGATATCAAATGCAAAAAACTTGTCTTAAGGTGGTCCTGCACACTCAGGCTTCCTGTTTCCTTTTAACAGATAAAGATTAGTTTCAAGGCCCTCAGCATATTTGTCTAGTTGCTCATCTGATATAAATGCAATATTAATGCCTTTAAAGTATGAATCTATGCCAAAGATCACCTTTGTTTTACTAAAGATTATTTAGAGGAAGTAAGAAAAATCATGTTTGCTTTCTAAGTTCTTCCAGTGGTCTGAGACACTGGTTTACACTTATGCCAGATGTGCTTTTCTCTGATGTCAGTGCTCAAGACACAGTGAAACAAATTAAAAAAAAAAAATCCCTGAATGATAATTAGAGATATCACCACTAAAAACTACATTTATAAGCTAGGATTTGTTATATGCAAATATTTTCTGCCTCTTCTTTTGTTCTGTTTAAAATAAAATGCATTTGTATAAATAATGCTTTAAATAATGGATATGTTATTTTAGCAAGAATCTTTGGGTCAGGTTTCTCCTTTGTTTTGAAGAATAGCCAATGAAACTAACCCTCAAGATCTGGAAACTAAAGATTTTTATTTAATCCAAATACTGTATTAGAAGAAGAAATCAAAGGTAATATATTTAATGAGGATCTGTGTGATAAAGGACAACTTTGAGGATTATATACTAGAAGGAATGGAAGTGACAAAGGCTAACGATAGGCAGAAAGCAGTCAGAAGTAGTCTGTCATCTTAGGAGATTCTAGCTATCCATGGAGACTGTCACTGTCTTCTGAAAAGCTAAAGTTGCTAAGTGTGCAGGAGTACCATAGGTCTATTTTTTAAGGTTCCAAAACCCAATCGTAGGGTTGTCTGGAATCCACCTGAGCTATAAGGCAGAGCTAGGTTTTGGGGACACAGTCTTCTTTGAGGAAGCACTGAAAATAGGAGCAGCTTCTTGGGGTCAAGTGGAACATCACTGTTTTTGTCTGACTTTCTAGATCTGGAAAGGGTAAATATCATTAAAGGGTGATATTCAGTGTTGCCAACCACTTTTCTCATTGCTTTATCTTAGAAAAGTAGCTGACTATAGAGGCAGATTCCAGCCTATTTGAGTTAGAGGAAAAATAGCCAAGGCTACTGAATTAGCAATCTCTAAAACTCTTATTTTTGCTACTAACCATATGTTAACTGGTAACCGCCGTCCTGTTGCATTATAGTTGTTTTCTCAAATCAATTGCCGTAAGGACAATAGGACTAGTATTTTTCAAGGGTTCTTCTGTAGTACCACGTAAGGAATGAACCCATCAGATGAACTCCCTTTGAATAAAATAAAATGAAGGTAACTCCCTTATGCAGTAAATAATCATCTACTTCATTTGCTTTTGGGAAATATTCTGTCATGAACTTAGAGAAAAAGGAATATTCTGGGATTAGCTATAACTCTGTGCTTGGAAAACATTCCACTATTACTAAGTATTCACATATCATTATGAGTAGTGGTAGGAAAGGTAGTTTTTGATCACTTATATCTTGATCTGTGGCCAGAAGGGTAATGCTTGAAGTATGAATGGCTGCTGACATACGGAGGTTAGGAAAGGAGCACTTGGAAATGATGTGCAGCAATCCTTACAGCTCACGTCATAATACAGAAGAAAATCTGATCATGTTTTAGCCTGCTCTGATGCTGAGCCTTGCCCATATGAGAGAATGTGATCAACAGTGAAGCTAAAAACATCAACTTGTTGCTTTCATCTTTTTATTGATAGTATAACCAGAGCTAGAGAAATGATTTAATGTATTCTATCAAATTAATAAATACAATAATTTAACTGTAAAAGGAAATAGTCTAGTTGGACATTTTAGCAGAAATTGCTAGAGGCAAGAAACTGTTGGCATACATTCTGTTTGGATAGAAAAGAACAGAACACAAGAGGAAAACTGGACAGTCCAGTATGGATTATTGACATTAGGAGTTCTGCAGAAAGAAAAGCAAATGTTCTGATTGCTCTTTTGAGGTAAGAACTCTGAAGAGTAAACCATTAAAAATGAAAAGCAATTTAACTGGGTAACCAACCTTAGGCAAAAAGAATAAATATGTGGCAACATTTTGTCTTTAGCTGCGAATCTGAGACTGGTTATGCTAGAAACGTGTAAGTAGCCTTTCTTATTAGATGAAAGGCAGAGTGGGGTACCCTAGACAGGCAAATTTAAGAATGCTGCTTTATTCTGGGCTTTCTGTACCAGCACCAACCACTAGCCCTTGGCAGCATAAATGGGATGAATATAAGGGTTATCCTTAGCATGATAAGGGAAAAAGAGTTACAAGCGGAGAAGATTAAAAGAAGAAAATAATGGAGCCACAAGAAGAAAACTAATAGCACAAGTCAGAACAAGGAGGATACATGAAGAACAAGCAATTTTCAATCTTTCTCCATTTCTTCAAGTCTAATGAGGACAATAACTGAGCAAGGATTATCAGCCTATAAAGTTGAATGAAATAACGCAATGAAGTTGAGTGAAATGACAAAACTGTTTACTGACTTTCCAACCATGATGATCAGTGTGGTATCATCAATGTTACTGAGGATTTTGTTTCTGCCTCATTATAATGCATTGCCATGTATTTTGTCAGTACAGTAGAGATGTTTAAACATTCCAGTGACAATTATGACAATAGTTTTGGGAAGGCATCTATGACTATAGTCTTGGGAAGCACACAGTTTGAAAAGGGAATTTTTCCTAATGACATGGGATGCAAGCAAATTCAACACCTTAAGAATAACAAAAAGGAAAGAAGACTAAGAGACCAATGATGGTGAGGCAGGCACATTTTCCTCCTTTTGTTGGACTGGAACATGAGAAATTTAGCCTAACTATAAGTAGTGTTGCATGAGCTTTATGAGACATGAAGATGGCAAAAATTTCACTCAAGTTTCTTTTTTACTACTTTAATTTGCTTAAAAGTGCAAATGCTTGTGCTTGCAATAATTTCCTAAAAGCAGAAGTAGTATTCCCTTTTACTCTCTTAATAAAGCATTTGCCCTTTTGTTACAAATGAGTTTTACTGTCTTAACAGCTGAAACCAGTGGCACAAAATGAGATGGTATTTACTGCAGCAAGGTCCCTGTAAATCAAAATCTGAGCTTTACATAAAAATCTTATTTATAAAAAATACGATGCCAAGTGCAGTGAGAATGGAGCACAGAGCAGCAATGCTCCCTGCCAGGGCCATGAAGAAGTGGCTTTTGCTACAGTGCTTGCTTAATGGCACAAGTGAAAAGCTGAATAAGGCAAACACTTGAAGAGGCAGTTGTTTTGTAAACTTCTGGGGTGGGGGTGGGATTCCTTCTTTTGGGACAGATACTGATTTGGGATGGCTAAGATCAGAAGGTGTGACATTTGGCTGCACCTGACACATCTCATCACAGACTAAGATACCTCCTGCTGGATGAGACCAGTCAACTTGTTTTAGCAGCAAGGTTATCACTGTAGCTTTCTGCCTTTACCGTTAAATGTGCAGTGTCCAGATGGTACCCACCTTATGGAAGAAATCACCTTCAAAATCTTCCTAAGTGAAAATATACAAAATAAGCTAAGTCATTAGAAAAGTTTCCTTAGCTTAAAGCTTCTTAAGAACCCTACATTGATTACTAAGCAACTCTGTTAGTGATGTGTAGCTTGACACAAATGCTTTAACTAGAATATGCATTCCCACCCACTTGGTACCTAATAGTAATAAATTGTAATGACACTTGGAAAACAAATGGATCTTGAGGAATTTTGGCCTCTTCTCATGTCCTCACTTGGAACTTTCCAGCTTTTGTGACATATTTGACTCCTTTAAATGGCTTATACTTCTCCCCATACATGTCCAAGCGGTTTACTTTTAAGCCTGTGTCAAAACGAATGAAAAGGAATTATCATTATCTCAGTCACAACAACTAATACAATGTTAGCAATGAGCATTTTATGGTAAATCTGTCATTAACCAGTGTTAACATTTGGAAGTAATGTCTCTTCTACCCTTTACAAATTATTGCTCTGTGGGGGTATGGTTTTAGTTAAGATTTCCCTGTAGGCAGGGAATACCTGTTAAGAGTAATTTTATTTTCTGTAAATATGAATGACTTGGTCAGGCACGGTGGCCCATGCCTATAATCCCAGCACTTTGGAAGGCCAAGGTGAGATAATCACTTAAGGCCAGGCTGGACAACAGTGAGATCCTGTCTTTACAAAAAATTTTTAAAAATGAGTTGGGCTTTGTGGCATGTTCCTGTAGTCTCAACTTCTCAGGAGGCTGAGGTGGAAGGATCACCTGAGCCTAGGATTGGAGGTTACAATGGTCTACGTTTGAGCCACTGCACTTCAGCCTGGGCAACAGAATGAGATGCTGTCTCCTAAAAAGAATGGCTCCCTCTTTGGTGTTTGAATGAGGGAAGGTGAAGGAAAGTTGTGTGAAATGAGGTATTTTCCAAAATTAATGGTGCCTGGGAGACTGGCTTCCAAGTCCAGTGAGGCAAAATGGAACAGTTGCTCCTTTTAGAGAAGGAACATTTGTTATTCTTCTAAGCTCCTAATAATTGAGCTCAGCAAACTCAATTATCCTTAAACACAAGTCAGACTTAACCTTACCTGAAATAGCAAGCTGCTGAATCTTGAACTGTATGTTGAGGCTTGGATTCTCTTCTGGCTTGGGCGCTCCAGACTGTAGATTTACCAGTCCTTTAAGACTTGGGAGTTTTTGTGGAGTAATTTTTCCCACATCCCATGTTAGTACCTTAAAAAGACATAAAATCAGTACCAATCTGAACCACTGTTAAAGGCAAAAATGATCAAAGACAAGGTTCAAAGACACCATAAGTTTTTGGTAGACCTGGGATCTACGAGTTTACCACTAGCTCTGTGACTATGAATGGGGAGTAAGGGTGGAGAATCAATGCTTGTTGAGCATTTACTTTTGGATTAGCACTGTGCTTAGCACTATTCATGTGATCTCACAGCGGCCTGTGGAGTAGCTGTCTCATATTTACAAATGAGGAAATTAAGGCTCAGAGATCAAATGACTTGCTCAAGGTCAAATAGCTAGTTAAAGGCAAGGTTGGGATTTGAACCTAAGGCCTTCTCATTTCAAATGTTCTTTTCATTATACCATCTTCACTACTTCTCTCTGGGCCTGTTAAATTTTCTGTAAAACAAGAAGAGTAAATTGGTGTTTTTATTTTTAGTTTATTTTTTGAGATAGGCGTCTCTGTCGCCCAGTCTGGAGTACAGTGGTGTGATCATACCTTACTGCAGCCTTGAACTTCTGGGCTTAGGTAATCATCTTGCCTCAGCCTCCTAAGTAGGTAGGACTACAGGCATGTGCCATCCACCATGCTTGGCCAATTTTTAATTTTTTATAAAGACAGGGTCTCGCTATATTGCTCAGGCTGGTTCTTGAACTTCTGGTCTCAAGAGATCCTCCTACCTCAAGACCTAAAGTGCTGGGATTACAGGTGTGAGCCACTGTACTCAGCCTAAATTTGTGTTTTAAATTTTTAGTTATGGAAGCTTTTGTTCAAGTGAAATCTTTAGTGTGGAAACTCAATGATGAGAAAGCAAAAGTGTTACAAGTGAAGCTGGGGTAAAGGGCCTGGGGTCTGGATGGAGCTCTTCTTCTCAGTCCTGTATGGTCTCTGGGGAGGTACTTTGAATTCTAAGGCCTGGCGTAAGTGATCCTTAATATTCTATGACTTTATTCAAAAATGCAACTTTTTGACCAGGTACAGTGGCTCCCACCTATAAGGTGGGAGGATTTAGTCTGGGCAACAGATTGAGACCTTGACTCAAAAAAACCCCACAGCCTTTTCATTTTATAATGCAGCTCAATGACTCTGCTGTTAAACAAAACAAAACAAAACAAACAAAAACACATGTATTCTATCCAAGCAGGAAATTGAGAGAAAATAATCTTTTAACATTTCTCTGAAAACTCTGCTAGAAGCATGTTTAAGTAGGGTGAGGAAGCAACTTTCTTAGCCGACATACTCTGTGAAAGAGTATGAAAAGATGCCTTTAAAAAAAAAAAAAGAAAGGGATATTGCTGTGTTGCTCCGGCTGGTCTCAAACTCCTGAGATAAAGCAATCCTCCTGCCTCAGCCGCCCAAGTAGCTGAGATTACAGGCGTGTGCCACTGCACCTGGCGAACAATGATGCTTTTAAATTAAAAAGAAAGAAAAACGTCTTAATGTTCAATTTCTATAGAAAATTTAATAATAGTGTATCATTATATCTTCTTTTTTTCTGAGTTGGAGTCTCACTGTTGTCCAGGCTGGAGTGCAGTGGCATGATAACGACTACCACAGCCCTGACCTGCTATGCTCAGGCAATCCTTCTGCCTCCACTTTCCAAGTAGATGGAACTACAGGCTCATGCCACCATTCCTGGCTAATATTTTAATTTGTTGTAGAGATGAGGTCTCAACAAGTTGCCCAGGCTGGTTTCGAATCCCTGGGTTCAGGCAGTCTCTCATCTCCACCTCCCAAAGTACTGGGATTATAGGTGTAAGCCACCATGCCTAGCTCATTATATGTTCTTATATCCAAATAATATTCTTTTTAAAAATGATTTTACGACTTCTTTCTCATTAGATAGTAAAGTGAGTCTCTGGATTACCAATGAATGAATAACGGCATACTCTGAGAGAAAAGACAGAATGAATCTTACTTTTCTGTTCATCTACTCAGTAGTAGATGAGGAATTCCCTTTGCAGCCAGTTATAGGAGCACAGCATAGAATGCTCTCTACATTTTGGTAAGAACTTTAGTTTTAAACAAGATGTTAAACTGTTCCTTTTGTCCCTCTCCCTGAAATCACAAAATAGATTGCAGGAACACTTGCTCACTCTTGATTTGAAGTGGCTGTACCTTGGTGACTGGATCAAATGTATAGCTGCCTTGTGTTGGCGTCAAGTTCATATTTAGCACAACTTTTGGCATGTGAACTGTCACTGTAATTCCTTCAATAGTTTTTCCCATATTCTGCTTTGGTCCAATTGTTATATCAAATCTTCCACAAGAACTGTTCTCCTTAAAACTGATACTGTGCTTCACATATACTGGTATTGCCACTAGACTAAAAAGAGAAACAGACACAAAAGCACACACAATGAATGGCATGGGATAGTTTCAGAAATGGCCTGAAAACCTTCGTCCAAAGTATCCTACCCTGCCTCTAACTCCCAACAGGACTCTACGGAGTCAGCCCTCTGTATCTGCAGTTCTACAATTTGAAATTCAACCAAATTCAGACTGAAAATATGCTTTTAAAACCCCAATAAAAATAACAATACAACAATAAAAAATAATACAAATAAAAAGCCAATATGGTATAACTACATAGCATTTATACTATATTAAGTATTATAATTTAGAGATGATTTAAAAAGTATTGGGAGGAAGTGAGTAGATTATATGCAAGCACTATGCCATTTTATGTAAGGGATTTGAGCTCTGCTGATTTTGGTATCTGCAGGGGATCCTGGAAGCAATCCTCCAAGTCTATTGAAGGACGACTGACTGTACCTCCAGAACTGCAGACTCAGCATCTGCACAAGGGGGAGTTGTTCTGGTACCACTGTGCTAGGAACTGTATGATTTATTGGCAACAAGTATACAAATCAAGAGAGAAATTTCTCTTTAAGTTTAATAACAGCATAAACAATGGGGGATAATGACCCTAGTTTAAAAACAATTCCTTTGCTTTTGAGTCCTGTCCTGATTTTACTGAAATAACTTCTGATATGTGCAAGGGACAAGCTAGCTACAACCTACAACACTAAATTTTCCTTTAAAATTCAAAGCAGAAAAAAGTGACTTGAAGCAGGCAAGTTGGGGAATGTCCTGGGGAGCTACAGGTAGGCCTGTCTCCTTCTGTTAGGCACAAAGTCTACAGACCAGGGAAAAATTATGGAAAAATTATGGCAGATTATGCATGGTTGAAAAATGTTTGCTCTCAGCTACAGATTTTACTATAATTTATTACTGCTTTGCATTCTTAGATTCAAGGTATACTGATTATTTGAGGCACTTATTTTCACCAGTTCTCACTGGGTCTTTGGGGAGCCATTGTGATGATGAACTCAAGTACTCCCAACCGTCAGAATGAACAGGGAAAGATGAGTTCTCAGCACACTGATATGCATGATGGCAAATTCTGGTTGATGCATTAACATACTTTTGTGAGCTGACACGGTATGATATGAGCCGGAAATTTCCATCTGGAGGAATAAAAGACAAAACTCTTTCAGATTCCCAACGCTTGAACCGGATGCAGGGGTGGAAGCTGACATCATCCAGAAGCCTTGGGTTCTGCCAGGAAACACAAGACAAGCGGTATTCATAGAGTATAATGAATATGGCAAATCTACTCAGATACTATGGGAAATTAATATGTTCCCTAAAGATAAAGCAGTCATGTGAGAGTTTACTATAACCATATCGATACAACCTTATAGTTTCACAGTGCTTTAAAGTTGGCAAATATCTTGTATACATTATTTTATTTGAATTTCAATAGCCCTCTATGAGGGAGGAAAGGCAAGTAGTAAAATTTCCATCTCATAGATGAAAAAACTGAGGTCCAAAGAACTTAAAGTCAGGACAAACTGTAAGGATGATTCTGGAGATTTGTGGAAGCCAGCCAATTTTAAGTCATTTCTGGTACACTTGGTAAAGACCTCTCTTCAACCTTTCCATGAAGATCATGCTCATCAACTGTCTTGGGAAGCTGTAGTAGCAATCTAAGATACAAACATCTCAGAATTTATAATTTCATTTAGTACTTCACATGTATTAGGCATGTAAGGGGCTACAGAAGAACAAAATTTACCATGAAAGAAAGGGAGAGATCAGGCATTCCAGATAGTTTAATGCAAGCGTCAATGACTCCCTGAATTTCTGCAAAGACTGTAGATCCTGCAGAAAAAAATAAAAAGGGAGATAACATCAATGAAATCTGGGTCTTTACTAGAGCTATCACTATATCTGGAGTAATGGAGATACCCACTGGGTGTCAGACTTACTGAGGCTTTGTGCCTCTATTAACGGGTCACTGGAAAGAGGATCTATTACACCAGTTCAGACAGCTTCTTTAGAATGCCATGATCTGTACCTAACTCTGGTTGGACTATGAGAATTCTTTTTTTTTTTTTTTTTTAATAGATAAGAGTCTTGCTGTATTGTCAGGCTGGTCTTGAACTACTGGGCTCAAGCAATCCTTCTGCCTCAGCCACCTGAGTATCTGGGACTACAGGCACAGCCCCTGTGCCTGGTTGGAATATGACAGTTCTAAGGAAAATTAAACTGTCTCTTTTATAGAGTCAACCTTGTAAGACTACTGGATATGATTTAAAAACATTTTTAATAGAATTTAAAAATGAAGCAAGTTTCTTATGAAACAGATTAAACTACTTGTTAACTTTTAAGAAATAGGAGCCATCATAGAAAATCTATTATTCTGTAAGAAGGAATGTTATAATGAAAAGAATACTCACTGAAGAAAATATGTTGGCTATAATTCACAATAAGTCAACATCACCTGTTAACTAGTTGCGTGACCTTGAGCAGTTGACTTAACCCTTCTGAGCTTCAGTTTCCTTTTGTATAAAATGTAAGGGTAGGACTAGATGTTTTTAATAATAAAATTTTATTCTAATAGAGTACTATTGTTGTTCTCTTTGGTTAAAAAGATAATCAAAAAGGCACCTTTAGTAGGTATGCTGCACATAAAGTGGTAGCAAAAGTATAGTATATGGTAGATATGCAATGTTAGAATGAATAAATAGCAAGAAGGAGAGGTGTACAGGGTAATAATTGGCTTAAAGTAAGGCATCACGAATTCTGATTTACGAATGTTTGGAAGATCTTAACTAGTGGCTATAAAAATTATATGTAATCTCTGGACAAAATACACAGATCTCAAAATCATTAGAAAACAAATGCGTTTCCACTGAAACCACACTGCCAAGGGATTTTAATTTTCTATTCATCTGTGTCAGCTGAATTGTTTTTCCCCAAATAAAGCCACATGCACACAATTACCTGATTTATCTATAATTGCATCTATTTCTTCAACGACATCAAAATAGGCTTCATTGTTTGTATACTTTACCCCTGCCCGGCGCCATGGGATGTTGGACAGCTGCCCAGTGGGGAGTGTATCCCCAACATTACTACTGCCTAGATACCGGAAAAAAAGAAAGCAAAGCTCATGTACAAAATGGTCATCAGAAAAGCTATTATCAGAAAAAAAAAATGCTTTAGTTGCTTCTTCAGTGTTTGGATTTTTCTTCATTGAAGTTGTGGATGGACTGCAGAATTGTTAGAGAAATATCCATACCAACATGATCAAATTTCTAGAAGACAGAAATAGGCCATGTGGCCCTCTGTCTACCTGCCAATCCAGGTTAAATTCATTTACTTATCTTTTGCTTCCTGTGTGTTAACAGTAACCTAACCTAATTCTAGTGGCTCAACAACAGAATCTCATCCTGCTGCCACTGATGAAAAAAGAGGTTGGTTGTTTCAAAACTTTGTCGATAAAATGCCTCCACTGAGAATACAGAGTTATAACTAGGCCTTTCAGTATTCAGCTTAATTTTACATGAAATGCTGCCAAGTAGGTCTCAGTGGAGTGAATGGAATGAAGAACATACTCTGGCCTTCTCTCATTTTAGGTTGGCACATCCATATTGGCTGCAATATAGCTAATGTTCGATATCTGGCTAATTTCCTGGTAAACTGACAAACACATAAAAATAAGTCTGGTTGTCCAAAATATATATCCTAGTTGTGACTTACTTAACATTTTGGTTAATTTACATTTCCAATTTAAAAGTAGTACCTGCTTAACCAAAAAACCCAAAAAACCAAAAACCAAAAAAACCCAGAACGTTCAGAAAGTGCTTTTAAAAAAAATTTTGATGCATTTCTCTAAACATTTCCAACATAAGCAGGTTTCACTGTTTTTTTTTCTACTTTGATAATTTTACCTTAAAAAAATTGCACTTTAAAAAATAGTTACAATCATACTGTATCAACAATTTTGTAATTTACCTATGGTTGGTATTCATACCTCCAACCTGTTGCCTTCTAGAAGAATTTTCAAAAAACACTACTTTAACCATGTTATCTTTCTGGCCAAAAACCTTCAATATTTCCTCACTTGTTTTATGATAAAAGCTAAATAGAATAGCTTTCAAGGACTTTCTCAACTTTTAAATTTTATCTCTAACTTCTGAAAAACAGCTCTGTTTCTGTTGAAGGGATTAATTTAACTCATGGTTTTTCACTTCATGTGTGCTTTTTCTCATTCAGTTCCATCTATGAAGAATGCTCTTATTCCTTCCTCTCTTCCTGAATTCTACTGATTCTCCAAAGTAGCCTGTGAGCCACTACAGTTCAGGAGGGAATATTACATCTACTGAACCATTCTCTAGAACTTTATAATACTGCCTTATGAATCTATATTATTTTTTATAATTTATATCTTAGTAACTTTTTTCTGACTAGGAATTACATAATTATTTTGGAAAATTAGAAAGCCTAAAGCAAAAATAAAGATAATCTGTATTCCCTTAGCTGAAAATAATCACTGTAAATATTTTCGAACTTTTTTTGTCTGTGAATGCTTATATGTAAGAATACTTTTTTATGGTTTTGTGCTGGTTTTTCCACTTAATAGTATATCATGCGTACTTTCTAACGTCACTACATTATTTGTGAAGTATGGAACTGCTTTCTAAAGTCTAATACTGTGGCCAGGTGCGGTAGCTCATGCCTATAATCCCAGCACTTTGGGAGGCTGAAGTGAGAGGATTGCCTGAGCCCATGGGTTCAAGACCAGCCTGGGCAACCTGACGAGAGCTCATCTCTACAATAAATCAAGAAAAATTAGTCGGGCATGATGGTGCATGCCTGTAGTTCCAGCTACTTGGAAGGCTGAGGTGGAAGGATCACCTGAGTCCAGCAGGCCGAGGCTGCGGTGGCCGTGAGTGTGCCACTGCCCTCCAGTCTGGGCAACAAAGTAAGACTCCAATTAAAAAAAAAAAAAATTACAGTCTTACACTGTTATTTATGTATTTGGACTTTTTTTTTCTCCAGTGTCTCAGTCAGAGTGTTTTAGGAGCATATACACTACGTTATCTTTTTTGAGTTCTCCTAACAGTCACCCTTGCACAGAAGATGAATACAGAGTTGCTAAATGATCTTGTTTTTATAGGCCTCTCTCAATCCATTTTTAGGTCAATGCACTGAACTGTGATTTACAATGGTGGGCAGTGTAGTTGGAGTGGTATATAACATTTCATAGACATTTTTCTTTAAAAGACTTTAATACTTCCAAAAGAATATTGTCATCTGGATATGCTTAAATTCTAGCTATAGTTAAGAATTAGGCCCAATTGGAAACTTATAAGTACAAGACTCACAATGCATGAGATCTCACAAGTAAAATAAGTTCCTATTTTGTTATATTTTAATACAGCCTCTGCATGTATAAAAACAAAGACTTGGAGGAGATAGTACATATTCTGTGGTGAAGAGTCTTAAATTTTCTGTACTCTAGTAAATGTGGGGCAGCAGCATGTCAGTTACATTATTTTATTTTTGAGTTCAGGTCTCACTCTGCCCAGGCTGGAAGGCAGTGGCTCAATCACAGCTCATTGCAGCCTCAAGCTTCTGGGCTCAGGTGATTCTTTTGCCTCAGCCTCCTGAGGAGCTAGGATTATAGATGTGTGTCACTACACCTGGCTAATTTTTAAAAAATTTTTGCAGAGAGACTAGGTTGTAGAGAGATTATGTTGTTTATGCTGGTCTTTAACTCCTGGCCTCAAGCAAACCTCTTGCCTCAGCCTCCCAAAGTGCTGAGATTACAGACATGAGCCACCATGCCTGACTCCCATAATGCCATTTTTTTTTTTTTTTGAGTCAGAGTCTTACTCTGTCGCCCAGGCTGGAGTGCAGTGGCATGCTCATGGCCACCACAGCCTCGACCTGCTGGGCTCCGGCGATCCTTCCGCCTCAGCCTTCCAAGTAGCTGGAACTACAGGCACGCGCTACCACGCCCGGCTAATTTTTGATTTATTGTAGAGATGAGGTCTTGCCTGCCCAGGCGGGTCGTGAACCTGCGGGCTCAGGCAATCCACTCACCTCAGCCTCCCAAAGGCGTGGGATTACAGGCTGAGCCACTGAGCCCGGCTTAGATGCTCTTCTAAATGGCCTTATATACTGGCTTTCTTTAGAGTAAACTGGGCTAATTTATTCAGTCTTATTATTTAGTATTAAATAATGGTAATAATATTTTTTGTGGTCTTGTAGAAAAAAAAAAGAGTAATAACCAGAAGTTATTTTTCATTTGAGACCTAGTCTCTTTCCATGAAAAGAAATATATAGTACATGCATTTTAACATTACCAGTAACTTCAATTCTGGCTAAATTGAACTAACTTAATAATCTGTCAGATAGACTATAAGCAACAATGAGTTGTTTACAAAAGTTTAATTGCTCAGTTTCTAGTACAGTATGCTTTCATGTTACCTGTAATAGAGTTGACAACAGAACGTAGAATTGTTGGTGGTTTAATCAGTTCTTTCAAAATGTTAGATTCAGTAGCCAGTGGAAATCCATTGTCCAACATTTCTTCCAAGAGTTCATACACTATAACCACATTGTCCTTAATTGCAGCCTCTGAACACTCACCAAAGTAGTCCTAATAAAATATACATAATATTGCATAATGGAAGGCATGAAGAAAGGCTTGCTGAATGCTTTTTGTTCTGAAGAATAAACTTATGGTAGTGTAATTCATTGTTAAGATGCTGAAAATATGTAACACAACGGAGTAAAACTTCCACTAAAGTCTTAATATTGTTTTTCAATATTTTCTTAATATTTTAAGATTGAACTGAATTCCCACTACATATTATGCCAGAAAGCACTGAAACATTAAACTGGGATGTGAGCTATAAGATTCATTTGCCCTAATTAACTACCCCAAAATACACATGTAGAAGTTTAAATTGTCAATAAAATGTAAATACTGAAGAGTTTATAAGCAATAAAAATCTTGGGACCATCTAAAGAACTTTAGTTGGAGGGGGCACTATTGTTTACTGATGATACAGTTATTTCTTGGATTTGTGGGGGTTGGTTTCAGGAATCCCTGGGTATACTGAAATTCATAATGCTCAAGTTCCTGACACAAAATGGCACTGTATTTGCATACACTTATGCACATGCTCCTGTATACTTTAAATCACTTATAGATTACTTATAATACCTAATACAATATAAATTCCATGTAAATAGTTGTTACACTGTATTATTCAGATAATTACAGGAAAAAGTCGGTACATGTTTAGTACAGATGCATTTTTTTGCAAATATTTTCAATCTGAGCTGGGTTGAATTCATGGATATAGAATCCACAGATATAGAGGGCCATCTGTAATTTGTAACACATATAAAAAAATATTGAAAGCCGGGCTCGGTGGCTCAGCCTGTAATCCCGTGCCTTTGGGAGGCTGAGGTGAGTGGATTGCCTGAGCCCGTGGGTTCGAGACCCGCCTGGGCAGCGAGACCTCATCTCTACAATAAATCAAAAAATCAGCTGGGCGTGGTAGCGCATGCCTGTAATTCCGACTACTCGGAAGGCTGAGGCGGAAGGATCGCCGGAGCCCAGCAGGTCGAGGCTGCGGTGGCTGGCAGCGGCCACTGCACTCCAGTCTGGGTGACAGAGTGAGACTCCAACTCAAAAAAAAAATAAAAAAAAAAAATTGAGCACAGCAACTATGTGTGCTATTATATGTCCTATAGAAAAGAGTTTATGAACTTATGCTTACTTAAAAAGAGAGACACAGAATAAATATAAAAAACTGATAAATAATATGATCACATCTCACCTCCAGTTAACATAGGCAATTTAAGTTAGAAAGGTTTGATGAATAACCAACCTGAAAAGTGTCAGCAACTCGATGTAGGAACTCAATTACAAAGAGAGGTGGCACTTCAGTCTGTATGACAGACACAAAGAAGAGCTTATCCCGGTAGATACTAATGAGGTAGTGGTGAGGTGTTGAAATGACAGGTGGTACATTTTCAACATCAGCAGCTTTCTCCTGAGCTTCAAAGAAATAATCACAGACAGACTGGCTCACAACACTTTTCCAGTGCTTCTCTAAAAATATGTCACCGGAACAGTTTATGAGAAATAGACTGTGGATCATTTTCTGTAGGAGAAAAAAAGGTTTCAATTTACTATACATTAAAATGTTTTCTTAAATTACTCTGACACAAAAATCAGACAAAGGCAATGCAAGAAACTACAGACTAATATCACTTAAGAATATTAATGTAAAGATCTCAACAAAATACTAACAACCCAAATCTAGCAACATATACAACAAGATTATATACCCTGCTAGTGGGATTTATTGCAAGAATGCAAAGTTGGTTCAACATACAAAAATCAATCAACATAATACACAATATTAACAAAGGACTAAAAATTAAAATCATCTTAAAAGTTAGAAAAATGGCATTTGACAAAATCCAACATTCTTTCATGGAAAAAAAAAACCAACAACCCAAAAACAAAAACCACAAACTAAGAATAGAAACATCTTCAACCTGGTAAAGACCATTTATGAAAACTCCACAGGTTAACATCACAGTCAATCGTGAAAGACCAAAAGCTTTCTCCTTAGTAACAACAAATAAGATGTCCACTCTAATGATTTCTATTTAACATGGTACAGGAGGTTCTAGCCAGGGAAACTAAGCAAGAAAATAAAACAAATGTTTCCAAATTGAAAAGGAAGAGGTATCTCTACTTATAGAAGACACAATCTTGTATATAAAAAATTCTAAGGAATCAGCAAAAAACTATTAGAGATGATAAAAGAGTTCAGCAAAATTGTAGTATACAATACAGAAATCAACTGTATTTTTAAACACTATAGTAATAACTAATTTGATAATGAAGTTAAGAACACTTTCATTTACAAAGGTATCAAAATATTTTAAATACTTAGAAAATCAACTTAACAAAAAAAGTGTAAGACCTATACACTAAATGTTATAAAATGTCATCGAGGCTGGGTGCAGTGGCTCATGCCTATAATTTCAGCACTTTGGAAGGATGAGGCAAGAGGACTGCTTGAGACCAGGTGTTTGAGACCAGTCTAGGCAACATAGTGAGCCTTTGTCTCTACAGAAATAAATAAACAAAAATTAGCTGGATGTGGTGGTGTGTGCCTGTAGTCTCAGCTAATGGGAGGCCTAGGCAAAAGGATCGCCTGAGCCCAGGTGGTTGAGGCTGAGGCTGCAGTGGGTATGATTGTGCCAATGCACTCAAGCCTGGACAACAGAGTGACACCCTGACTCTGAATAAATAAATGTCATTGAAAGAATTAAAAACATCTAAAAAATGCAAAGATATTTCCTGTTCAGGGATTGGAAGACTTAATATTGTTAAGATGGTAATATTCCCCAAACTCATCTACAGAATCAATGAAATCCCTATTAAAATTTCAGCTGCCTTTTTTGGGGAAAATGACAGGCTAATCCTAAAATTCATATGGAAATAAAAGAGGCTAAGAACAGCCACAATAATCTTGAAAAAGAAGAAAAAAGTTGGAGAATTAATGTGTCCTGATTTCAAAACTTATTATAAAACTACTGTGTGGTACTGACACAAGGATAGACGTATGGATCAATGGAACAACTGTGAGTTCCAAAATTAACTCTTACATTTATAGTCAATTGATTTTCCACAAAGGTACCAAGACCATTCAGTTGGAGAGAGAATAGCCTTTTCAATAAATGGTAGTAGAGATGGATTTCCACATGCAAAAGAATGAAATTGGATCTCTACTTCACACCTTACACAAAAAGTAATACGAAATGTTATCAAAGACCTAAATGTAAGAGCTAAACTATAAAACTCTTAGAAAAAATATGCATAAATCTCAACTCTGAATTAGACAATATTTTTTTACACATGCAAGCACATGCAATATTTTTTTACACCAAAAGCACATGCAAGAAAAAGAAAAAACAGATAGCCTGGACTTCATAAAAATTAAAACTTTTGTGCTTCAAGAAAGTGAAAAGTGGCTGGGCATGTGTTAGCTCATGTATTTGTAATTGCAGCACTTTGAGAGGCTGAGGCTGAAGGATGACTTGAGCCCAGGAGTTCGGGACCAGACTGGGCAACACAGCAAGACCCTGTCTCTACCAAAACAAAACAAGTGAAAACCCATAAAATGAGAGAAAATGTTTGAAACCATATATCTTAAAGGAATCACTAGCCAGAATATATAAGAATTCTTACCCAATAATAAAGACAACTCAATTAAAAATGGGCAAAGGATTTGAAAAGTTATTTCTCCAAAGTAGACAGATGCAAACACACACACACACACACACACACACACACACACACACACGGCCACATGAAAAGATGCTCAAGACTGGGCACAGTGTCTCATACCTGTAATCCCAGCACTTTGGTAGGCCAAGGCAAGAGGATTGCTTAAGCCCAGGAGTTCAAGGCCAGCCTGGGTAATATAGCAAGACCTTGTCTCTACAAAACATCAAAAAATTAACAAGGCATGGTGGCACGTACCTGTAGCACCAGCTACTCAGGAGGCTCAGGAGAAAGGATCATCTGAGCCTGGGAGGTTAAGGGTGTGGTGAGCATGAGCGTGCAATTGCACTCCAGTATGGGTGACAGAGTGAGACTCTGATTTAAGATAACATTGTATACCCAACAGACTAGCTACAATAAAAAAGGCAGACAATAACAAGCGGTGACAAGATGAGGAGAAACTAGTACCCTCATACATTGCTGGTAGGAATGTAAAATGGTATAGTCACTGGAAAACACTTTTGAGTTCTTCAAAAAGTTAAACACACCCGTGCTTTGGGAGGCCGAGGTGAGTGAATTGCCTGAGCCCGCAGGTTCGAGATCCGCCTGGGCAACTTGGCCAGACCTCATCTCCACAGTAAATCAAAAAAATTAGCCGGGTGTGGTAGCGTGCACCTGTAGTTCCAGCTACTTGGAAGGCTGAGGCGGAAGGATAGCTGGAGCCCAACAGGTCGAGGCTGCAGTGACCAGGAGCCTGCCACTGCACTCCAGTCTAGGCGACAGAGTGAGACTCCAACTCAAAAAAAAAAAAAAAAAAGTTAAACACAGAGTTACAATGTGATCTAGCAATTCTGCTATTAGGTATATACCCAAGATAATTAAAAACATATGTCATACAAAAACCTGTACATGAATATTCACAGAAGCATTATTTTATAATAGCCCAAAAGAGGAAACAAACCAAATGTGTATCAACTGATGAGCGGATAAACAATATGTGGACTATCCACACAATGAATGTTATTTAATCATAAAAAGGAATGAAGTGCTTATACAATATGGATGAACCATAAAAGAAACCAGACACAAAAGGGCACATACTGAAAAATACCATTTGTATGAAACATCTAGAATAGGCAAATTCACAGAGACAGAAAGTAGATTAGTGGTTTTTAGGGGTTGGATAGAGGAGGAGAAATGGTAGAAACGGCAGAGGGGGAGTTACTGGTAATGGATTTAGCATTTATTTTTATTTATTTATTTATTTATTTATCTATTTATCTATTTATTTAGAGTTGGAGTCTCACTCTGTCGCCCAGACTGGAGTGCAGTGGCCACTTCCGGCCACCGCAGCCTCGACCTGCTGGG